TATGTTTTCGTCGCACATTTGCGACGTTTCTGTGATTAAATCGTCGCTATCAAGTTTTAATTTAAAACCCTAGCGACGATTCGGGATAAGCGTCGCTAGCAAGCGACGTAAAGTATACAAACGTCGCCAATACGGGAAAAATAAAATAAAAATATTTTTTGTGGCGACGAAAATAGTGTTTCGTCGCTACTTTACATATTTTGTGATTTTATATTTTAGATGTTGCGACGTAACAGGCGGATTAGTCGCAAATATTATTAAAAAAAAAAAAAAAAATATACGTTGCGACGTTTGTTCATAAACGTCGCTCGGAGTTGCCATTTATTTGTAATTTATTTATATGTTGCGACGGAAAGGTAAAAACGTCGCAACAGTTTTAGTAATTTTTTTTTTTTTTTAGTATTCCAGCGACGATATTAACAAAATCGTCGCACAAAATGTGCTCAAATTTTTTTTTTCGCATTTAGTAGCGACGGATTATTGAATTCGTCGCTAGTTCTCGGATATATTAGCGACGAAAATAGGAAACGTCGCAAAGATTGACTTATTACTCAATCAGGCCCTAATTAGATCTATTTCCTCCCGGCCTTCTCTCTCAAACTCTCCCCCTCTCCATCTCCTCCGATCAAGCACAAGGATTGGAAAGTCGAGATTTTCTTCGACTCCATCAGACGTGGAGATTCAACTGGAGATTCAAATGAAGGCAATGCAAGAACAAATGCAAATGAAAGACGAACAAGTGAATCGATTGGAACAACAATTGAACGAAAACCGAGAAACAAATAAAGTTAAAGATGAAAAATTTGATCGATTAGAACAGCAATTGCAGGAAACCCGAGCTCTTTTGAACAACTTGCTCGAGCGTTTTAATGGTGGAGTATAAAAACGAGATGAAATTAGTGTGCCTCTTGAACTAATACATTTATGGTTTCAAGTTTTTATGTAATTTTTGAATTGATGTTCGTGTTGTATTTTGATATTTAATTGGTAATCGTGGTTTTTAATATTTTTGAGTAAATATGGTTTTGGTTTTTTTTTTTTTTTTTTTTTAACAGGGGATTTTATTTGTAATAAAAAATAATTAAAATAAATAAATTAATCAAAAAAAAAAAACGTTTGCGACGAAATATAATTCAGTGTTCGTCGCAAAAAAAAATAGAACCGGGCGACGAAACAACTATTTCGTCGCCCACAGATTCGGTGAACTTGCGACGAATTAAACAAAATTCGTAGCAAATACATGCGACGATATTAGTTTTCCGTCGCTAACAATAAAAAAATAATTTTTTTCAGAAAATACGGTTTTTGCGACGAATGTGTGGTTTCGTCGCCAATCTTTGCGTCGTAATTGGATTTTCGTCGCTGACTTTGCGACGGGGCATTACGCGACGAATTTTTAATCATTTGGCGACGAAATTAAATCGTCGCTAAAGGCGAAAAAACGTCGCTACGTGACGAATTTCGTCGCGAAATTTCGTCGCCAGTGTTGCATTTTGGCCTAGTGTATTACACACAATAACCACTTGGGTGTTTTATTTTTTTAATTAGTTTTTTATTTCTTTTCCTTTTTAATTATTGTTGTTTTACTTTTTCAAATTTTTTTTTGTTTTCTAATTTTTTTCTGTCGGGTAATTAATCGACTATGATATTAATCAACTGTAGAGCATAGTCGATTAAGGAAATCGACTACTAAAATTGTAATTGAATAATGAAATTAACTACTAACTAATAGTTGATTAATGTAATTAATTTCAAAAGTAACAAAAGCTACTGTAATGTCGTCAGTGACATCCAACACGATTCAACAGCAGAACCCAAACAATAGCAACCAACCGCAAAAATATAAAAACAACTAAAAAATAGCGAAATCAACTATTTTTACCAAAAGTAAAATAAAATAAATATTCATGTGGCAAAACAACTACTACATTGCAGTAACCAACGACTAAATAAAGCTCAACCGCATGTTGCAAAACAAGAAATCAATAAAACAAAATCAAAATCAAATAAAAATTGTAGTCGATTAATACCTTAATCAACTACTAAATCGTAATTGATTATGGATGCAATAGAGTTCCAACAAATGCACTGCTCACCAAAACACCTGTCGTACTTTTCGTTTAGTCTGCATTTAGTATTTTCATTTTTTCATCTAATATTTTTTTTTTACAAAAAACACGTTTTTCTTTCTTGATTTTAGCATTTTTTGCACTATTAAAACATTTGTTTCCTTTTTTATATATAATATCAAAAATTTAAAAACATAAACACGCTTTTCATTTTTTTATTTCAATTTACATAATTTTTTTTTTAATTTTATCTGTTGTCAAAATGTAGTAGACTATATTACACTCTAACGTACTATGATATTTTGGTGTAATATGATATACTGCGGTGTACTATGGTTTACTACAGCATATTTTTTCAAATCCTAGCAACAAAACAAACTCTTAACCATCGCTAAACCCTAGGAACCAACAACTTCCAGCCGCCACCAACTTTTATCCATCAAATCCTAGCCGTCAACCAAAACCCTTGCGCCGTCAAAAAGCCCTAGATTGATGCAACCGCCTCCCACTGTCGATCTAATCTCATATCACTATCTCCAATGGCCATCTCCACCATAACCATCACCTTTATAACCACGATCACCACCGTCATCGCCATAGACATTGACACCTTCGCTACCCTCTTCTACAATCGCCCCCTCCACCACATCGCCGTCGAGGTTCCCAAGAACATCAAACTTTTCAGATCTCTGCATCGGCCCCTTCAGCCTCCTCATATTTCGGCGACGCTGGAATCCTTAGTTTGCCCCCCATCGGTTTGCAAGAGAGAGAGAGAATGGAGTAAAAAATATGAGAGAATGAGATAAAAAGGTGGAACGGTCGAAAAGAAGAGAGAAACGACTGGAAAAAGAAAGATAAGGGGAAGCGAGAAATGAATGATAAACCTAATTTATTAATATTTATATTAAGAGTATTTTCGAATTAAACAAAAATAAAAGAATGTGGGTCAAATTTTACTTTGAACTAAGAATTTAGTTAAAATATTTCATTTGAGGTTGTCATCCACTTTAAATTATATTTGTGTTGAGGGGCTCCTAGCATATTACCCCATAATTTAATATTATCTAGAAAATATTATAATTGGCGCCTTAATAAATAAAAATCATACAATCACATCCCTAATGGTTAATAGTACGACGGCAAAAATAAATTTTGTGGATGAATATATTCTTGGAATCTAAAAGATTATTTTATTGTTGATATCATAAGGGGGAAATGTAATAATACATACCTCGAGGGGTTAAATGTAATTATAAAAACAAGAGAAGTATTTTTTTTATTTTTTCCTTATCTTAATTCAGGAGATGTGCTAGCAATTTACCATAAAATTAATTTCATAATTTCAAAATGCCAAAAGGAAATAAAAGTTACTTTGATATTATTCAAATATCTGAAAATACAATCATAGAACAATAAAAATATAAGTAAACGTTGCAAATTGATTAATGAATTGCACTATGATGCCCCAGGAATTAAGGTACAGAGTTAGGGTCAACAATCTCACACTCTTGAATCTTGATACATTTTAAATGATTTGTGTAAATCTTAAAGGCGAAGAAACGTGCGACCACTATTTATCACAACTTATTTATCATGCCAATTATGATTCCATCGTCCAATAATGCATACCGGCAAGCTAACCTCAAATCATATACAATGAATTTCATCGGGTGTGATGTGTATTGTTAAATAAATATGGGGAATTGCATATAAGCCCTCCGAAGACGACTTATTTGCACTCTTATTCAGATTAAAATCAGTCGTATAAAAACGCTACCCCTTGTTAATTGGGGTCAAAATTGGGTTAGTGATCAAAATTGATTAATCGGTGAAATTAAGGTTTAAATTGTGAATTTTGGGTGAAATGGGATTTCAAGGAGTTATGGACAATTTTGGTATATATGTATGAGAGATCTTTCCTTAGTTGCAAATAAGTGTTGAACTGTTAATGGTGGATATATTTGCAAAATAAAAAAATAGGATATTCCGTTTTTAAATAAGTACTCTTGCCATTAGTGTTTTTGCAATTTGCCCAAATATTTATTTTGCATCTACATACATATGTATGTAAATTCATGACGTAAAACATAAAACTTACACTAGTAGAAAATTTGCTTATTACTACGAACTTTTTTGCTACGGTAAAAAACTGTAACAAAATGTACTTTTTACTACGGAACAATTTTAAAGTCGTAGTAAAAATACTAGGATTTACTGTAGCAAAAAAATATTTGGTACGGCCATTTACCGTAGCAAAGCTTTTGTCACGCCCGTATATGGGGCAAATTCGTAGCAAATGCGTAACAAAAACCTTTTTAGTACGAATTTGATCTCTTTTGCTACGGTTAATGATCGCAGTAAATAAAATCATTTTTCTACTAGTGTTACGTTTAATATACTTCACCAAATGTAATATCTACAAGATATAATGTATAATATAAGTATGTTATTTGTACCGCCTAGTTCATCATGAATTATTCAAAGTCATTATTTGTGTTATTTTTATATATTTTCTTTTGATAATTAAGTCATTATTTGTGCTAGATTGAAGAATCAACCACTATACATATTATATATGCTTCCCCTTAAGAAAAACACACATGTATTGGGTCCTTGGAACTTGATAGGACGTATATTTTATTATATTATCAAGAAGACTTCTAACAACATATATAATTATAAAGTAGTAAAAATTAAAGAAAATATTCAATTATGCCAATACGATCACCACGAATTCCTAACAAATACAAATGATACTATATATTAGGTACGAAAAATAGAAACCAGCTGGATCAAATCATCAAATCTTATGTTAGATTAATTAGGTGAATACTACAATTACAAATGCAATATTGAGAGAGAGAGAGAGAGAGAGAGAGAGAGAGAGAGAGAGAGAGAGAGAGAGAGAGAGAGAGAGAGAGTTAGTTATGTTTATTGGTGATGATCAGGAAGCTGATCAAGCTGGTCCTGAAGATGTTGGTGGTGGCCACTAATCTGATTTGTGTGCATGTTGTAGGTGGAATTACTGACTGTGTGGTTTTCCGGATTATTAGTTGAAGGGAAAAACATTTGATTATGATCTTGAGGGAAGATATAATTGTTGTACTGAAATGGTGGAGAGAATCCCAAGAGGGCGGCGGCACTGCCACGGATGGTGGCGGGGCTGTGGTGGTTGTGTTGGCCCTCGTAGGTGGTGATCACAACCGACGGGTCTTCGAATGATCTCTCTATTCGTTTCTTAACGCCGCATTTCTGGCTGGTGCATCTGTAATAACTCCTATAATATATATGATATGATCATGACTTCTTTGCATAATTAAATTTATAAGATTCAATTATTTAATTTATATATATATATAGAGAGAGAGGCAGACCTTGGAAAAGGGCTGTTTTTGACTGCTTTCTGGCCATACTTTCTCCATCTGTAACCATCTTCCAGATTATCAACCTCGCTTTTAGTCATGAATGCAAACCTCACTTGTCTTTCCTTTTTATTTTTCACTACTTCCTTTTTCTTTGCTTTCCTGCAGACAATAACACACACACACACACACACAACTGTAAGTATATATTTATATATATATATATATATATATATATATATATATATATATATATATATATATGACAGACAGAACCCTAGCTATTAGATCAGACATTTTATTTGCACAAAATCCTTGCAACTAATTGATCATTGCGAGACAAGAAATCCAGTACTGCCAGAGATACTAGCTAGGGTTTTGTCTTTTCTTATCCTCTCATCAAATCCTTTAGTTTATATCTCAGACTACAAGAAATTAAGTGGAAAAATATAAATAAGATATATATAACCTCTTTTTATCGATCTTGAGCTTTGAAAATAAGCTAAGTAGTGAACCAATGGAAACTTCCACTTGGAATATATATATAGACAAGTCCTCACCTTCACAGTATATGCAACTAATAAAATGTACCAAATTTCAAAACATCAAGTACTACATAAATAAAAAAAAAAAAAAAAAAATAAATAAATAAATACAGAAATAAAGTAAGACCTACATATTCTCAGATTTGGCATGATCATGATCTCCTTGTTCACAAACTTTTTGTTGCAGATCTGATTTCAAATAATCGTCTTCGAGTCCGGCCTCCTGCGAAGAAAACGACACCGAAGAATTTGGTGTGCGTGGATTTTCAGCAGAAGCGGCAATATTTATTAGTTGATCATCATTATGATTATTATCATAATTAATAGCAGCTACTTGATCATGAGATGATGAACAGGACAAATCAAAAGCATTTGATAGAGCGTTGTATTCAGCTACTTCCACTTGCAAGAAGTTCGAGAAGCTCATAATACCATCAGAAGAAGAATGGTCAATCCGATTATCGAAATTAGGGTTTCGCAGAGGTGGCGGCGGAGGCGGTTGCTGGTTGTGGCGGTGGTGGTAGTGGTGGTTGTTGTAGAGATCATGAAAGTGGTTGTAATTATTATGACTTGTGGTGGTGATGGGAAATTCAAACCCTTGTTGTGGTGATGATGTTATGGTGTGAATGTGATCTTGATGGAAAGAATAATAAGGATTATTTATATTATAAGAACTACTATTGTCTTCATTAGACATATTGAAAGAGTTTCAAGAATTGCTCCAAGAGAAGTTTTTTTTTTGGAGAGAGAAACTTTTGTTTCATTTGTGTGCTAGATATAGCTTTCTGCTTTTTGGAATACTTTATGCTTTCCTTTTTCTTCTTTCTTGAATTTCTATTTATTTTTTTTTAATTTCTAGAGAGAGAAGAGGATATTTAATAGAATGTGTGGGAGAGAGATGAAGATAGTGATGTTCAGTACTATTTGTGCTTTGTTTATTGTTTATGGTGCATGAATTAGAGGAGGTTTTTCTTGATTGATTTGTCCTTATTGCGGCTACGAGTTTATTTATTTATCTCTCTCTATATATTCCTTTTCTTCTGGAGAGAGAAATTAAAGTAACCTTAATTTTCAAAGGTTGCTTGTAAAATCATCTTCAGACCATGCGTGGATTTATTATGTTAAAATAAATTAATTAAGGTGAAAACTTTAGGGAAAAAAGTTCATCTATGTTGGTCTATGCAGGGCATTTAGTCATCTACCTTGTCATGTTTCAATTTTATATATGTAATATAGGGTGCAAATTTAGACAAGATGGTCTGTTTTAATAAGAAAATCGGATGTTATAGGATGATTAACACGTGGATAATTTAAATCAAAATATAATTAGTATTCTAATAATTAGAAAAAAAAAAGAAAAAAGAAAAAAGAAAACCCAGCAGAACCCGTAACCCCTCTACCCCTAATTATAATAGCGTGATTTATCAAGAGTTAGACTTAAAAGTGCCACATGTCAAAAAATTAGTGGAGTCCGATTTATATTAAATATCGGCTCATCTGCTCAGAATTTAATCTCTATAGTATATTAGTATTTAGACAATTGAAGAAAAAACAAAAATACATACACACTTGCTTCTCTAAATTATTCTATTTAGTTTTCAATTTTTGTGCTCTCACTAGCTTTATTATACGTTATGAGCAATGCACGAACCGCTAATCATTTCAATAAGAATCATGGAAAATGACAAGGACGTAAGCAATTTAGATGATAGAGATATCTGTTTAGTTGACACTGGAACAACACACTATTTTTTGAGTTAAAAAAAAATTTCTCGGATTTAAAATTGGCAAAAGCAAATGTTAGTACAATATTTGGGATTACAAAATTAATTAATGACCCTTGAAGAACAAGTATAATTTTGCTCGGTGGAAAGAATATTTTGATAAAAAAATGAGGCTTTAATTTGTACTCTTGCAAATCTAAAAGAAACTTATGGTGCATTTGGATAGAGATTTAGGGGAGGAATTTCAAATTCATAATAACAAATTCCTTGGACTTGTTTAGATTGAGAGATTTGGAGATGGATTTCAAATCCACACCCCTCATTTTTAGTTGATTTTGGAGCAATAGTGGGGGATTTCAAATGACTCCAAATTTGAGTCATTTCAAATCCCTTCCCCAAATCAAATCCCCTTTCAAATCCATCAATCCAAATGGACCCTTAGTCAATTTCAAAGATATACATCTTAATGGATTTCATATCGAGACTCTGAATGAGGGGAATGTGAAATATCTTTGTATTACATCCAATATTTTTTATGCAAGAAGCATGTTGAAGAAAAACTCTCAGTTTTCACATTGGAATTATATTATGCGACCCTATGCCCAAATAGAATCAAACATTGTGTAGAATAAGAAGTTCAATCATCCAAATTAAACCTCTTTATACTTTGGCACGATCGACTAGGCCACCCAAGGTCGATTAAGATGCATCGAATAAAAATATTATTGTGGGCTTCCTCCATCGGAAGATTCTTTTACCTGTATGTTGCTTGCTCACTAGAAAAACCGATTAAAAGACCATCTCCAATAAAAATAATTGGCAGTGAATCTCTATTGTTTTAATAAATAATTCAAGGGTGCATTTGGATGGAGGGATTTGGGGGAGGGATTTCAAATCCATAATAACAAATCCCTCGGACTTGTTTGGATTGAGGGATTTGGAGATGGATTTCAAATCCCCACCCCTTCTTTTTAGTTGATTTTGGAGCAATAGTGATGGATTTCAAATGACTCCAAAATTGGAGTCATTTCAAATCCATTCCCCAAATCAAATCCCTCCCCAAATCCCTCTATCCAAATGGACCCCAAGGGGATAGTTGTAGACCTATTTCTTGTGGACCATTTTGCTATTTTATGGTCCTAATAGATGCATCTCAAGATGCTCATATGTAATTCTTCAGCCAACACGTACTATTGCTTTTGCTATCTTTTATTTCTCAAAGTATAAGATGGAGAGCTCAATTTCATCATTATCCTATTAAGAATATATAGCTTGATAAAGTGAACGAATTTATATATCAAGTATTTAATGATTACATCATATTAGCTCTATTGATGTTGAACATTTAGTTGCACATATACACACTCAAAATGGCTTTGCAGAGTTCTTTACTAAGAACTTGCAATTGAATGCTACACTTTTACTTTTTAAGGTTTAATTTACCCAATTCTAATTGGAGACATGCAATATTACTTGTTGTTTCATAGATAAGGATTCGACCAAGTCTTAGGCACTATTAAAACTTACAAGCTACTCAACGGTTATTTATCAGTCTCACATTTAAAAGATGCTAATTTCTTTCGATCAATATAATCTCCATCAAATAATTAATGTATCTACCCAAATTGATGGACATCCTGAATCAATCTGAATACCATCCATTTTTTTATCAAAGTAGAGTACACTAACAAATTTATACATTAAATGCCTATTGATTAAGAAAATAAGTAATTTACTGAGAATAACTAGAAATACTAGGATTTCAGTTTATAATAAAATACTTTGCCATATTCAACATTTGCCAACATGCTATCAAAATAAGTTAAAGAAATATCTTCATAGTTATTTTTCGTTTAATATAATACATATATGCTACTTAAAAGTTGTGTTACAATCTTTATCCCAATGGTTTGTCCAATTCCATCTTAATTGTCCACTATATAACTTTATATTATATAAGAACTAACAAAATAATCTTATCTGTGATACCTAAATTCAACACGCTATTTATTTGTGAATACAATATTGTACCAACAGTTAATTAAGAAATAAATTAAATGCATAAAATCCCAAATGAAGATTCTGAATATGACTCAAACTAATAAAATTTTATTAAAAGAAATCATTTAACATAGATAAAATGAGGTTTTTATTCTACTATACTTACAATCTCTCAGTCTGCAACACAAAGTTAAGTATCTTAACGTTAATCTTTCAAGGTGACTATTGATAGTCTTCGCCGAAAGGCTATGATGTTGTCTTCTTAACCACTACATCATCTCGGCTAACCAACTTTTGAATAAGGTGATATTCGCATTCTCCGTGGTTTCCTCTTTTGTGAGGTCTTGGTTGTTTCAGGTTCGCAATCGTTGCGCTTTTGGAACGATGTCATAGTCGGTTTAATTGTTGGAACCACTTCTAAGTCTAGAAGAAAGCTCATTAACAAAACATCTCCTTTTGCAGCTACATATCGGCCTTCATAGTTGAATCACCAATACAAGATTACTTGATGCTTTTATCCAACTAATGGGCCCTTGTATCAAAGTAAACATATACAACAAAGTAAATATTCTTGAGTCTCTTTTAGTTTGAAAGTCTGTTACGTGTATCCTAAAGCCATTAGATGGGCACCTTGGTACACTAACATATAGTCTTTAGTCCACTAAGATACTTGAGAATATGTGTTACTTAGTTCCAATGCTCAAAGTCGGGACTAGACTGGTATCTACTCATTATGCATACATAAGGCTTCAAATTGCGAAGCATAAGGAATCTCTTTCACATTTCTAATCTCATCAAATGTCTTTGAACATTGACCCTTAGAAAGATGAACTCAATGTCTAAAATGTAAAGCATGTTTCTAGTATTTTTTGCATATTAAAGAGGGTAAGGACTAATTTAGCGATATAAATTTATTTTTCTATTAAATGTTACAAATTATTTTACTGTAGTGATATTACTTGTCTGCAATAGCCCTAGCATCTTACTTTGGCGATCTTGCATGAGCTTGACCTAAGAATATATGTTACTTCAGCCAAGTCCTTCATATCAAATTGACTAGGTAACCATACCCTAACTAATGATAAAGCTCTCATATCATTTTCAATGTGTAAAATTTCATCAATATATAACAATAAAAATACCACTACGCTTCCATTACACATCTTATATATCAATGGTTCATCTGGACATCGGGCAAAACCAAAATATTTGATTGCTTGATCAAAACATATGTTCAATAGAGTTGCATAATGTAGATGCATTCGTCAAAATTTTCATTAAGGAAGATCGCATACTAAAGAGGGTAAGGAGTGCAGTGATATAACTTGATTGTGATAGCCCTAATATCTCTTTGCGATCTTGCATAAGCTTGAACCCAATAATACATGTTGCTTCACCCACATTTTTCATATCGAATTGATTAGATAACCATACCCTGACTAATGATAGCACTCCCATATAATTCCAATCAGAAGTATGTCATCAACGTACAACATTAAAAGTAACACCACACATCCATTATACCTCATATTTACACATAGCTTATCTGGACATTGATCAAAACCAATATTCGATTGCTTGATCAAAATTAATGTTTCATGATCTAGAGTTGATCAAGATGTTCGGGTTCTATTTCTTCAGGGACCTTATCGAAAGACTCTCACAAGAACATATACCTCTCATGGTCCTCCCACTACGAATAGGCACTATAGGTGTAATTGCTTGATCCTCAATAGCCCTCTCACTCAAAGTAGGGTATGGGCCATCGATTTAGTTTTGTGTTGGTTCTTCTTGTGTTTCAAGTATTAGTGTGTATGTTGTTAGTAGTTCTTAATTTTTTTAATCTTATTAAATTCTTAGGTTAATGACTCACTACATAATTCTCTTCAACAAACTTAGCATTTGTAGATACTATAATTCACATGATCATAAAAATAGATGCCGTATCGTTCCTTTAGCGTAACCTACATAT